CTCGCTGTCGCTCCCGGCCCGAACCCCGACGAGGCGAGAGGCAGCGAAGGGTTTCGGATGCGAACATATATGGATACGCAGTGCAGATATAGCCAGGAGACCACAGCAGGATACACATCGCGACGGTGACACATATCGGATATCAAGAGTCCCCACGACCCCCACTCCCACCTCAATCGGGCGCGAACATCGCACGCTCAGCCCTTTCGGACAGGAACGTGTGTCAAAACGGAATGGGATGCGCAATGGAATGCGGCCATGTGGCATGTGCGCCCGCCTTCCGTCCCGCATGGTGCCACAAGGAGGGCGCTTCGCTGCAACGGGTACTAGCTCTGCCAGGAGCCGCGCGAGAACACGGCGTCCGATCGTACGGGAGCAAAAGAGCAGCGCAGCGTCCAGCGATGCATCCGATCTAGGCAGCGCACGGGGGCACGGCGGCGGGCAGCGGCGGCGGCGCGGGCGTGGCGCTCCCCGCGTCGGCGGCGCCAGCCTCGTTGCCGCCGGTGCCGGCGTCGCACGCTCCGGCGAGCAGCAGTAGCCCTAGTCCGTCCGACGTGGCGGGAGGCGGCGCGGCGGGGGCGGAGGATGGCGACGGCGGCATCGTGGCGGCGAGGATGGGCGTCCGCCCCTGCGCCGCTCCGTAGCCGCCCTGCCCGCCGAGCCCGGCATCGAAGCCCTGCGTCGCTGTTCGGCAGCACGCGACAGTGGGCCGAGGCCCCGCGGCGGCGGCGGCGTTGGCGGCTCGCTGCGCCGCCAGCAGCACGGCGGGCGGATGATAGCCTGCGAGCGGGTCCGGACGGTGGTCGGTCGGGTGGCGCAGGCGGGACGCGGCGGGTTGGGGGGGTGGGCAGGGCCGGGCCGGGAGGAGCACGCGCCGGCGCCGAGCAGCGCCTTGGTCGCGGCGAATTTGTCCATCACATCGAGCGGCGCGGAGTGGTCGAAGGTGATGCTGTAACTGCTGCTGCCGGTTGTCTGACCCGAGGACGCGTAGGGCGGCAAGCGGTAATACACGTCGTCGTGCTGGCCCAGCCCGGCGGCGGCGGCGGCGGCGAGCGCAGGGATGCTGTTGAGCGCGGCGTTGAGCGCGGGATGGCTGCCGCGCTGGTAGGCGCCGCTCTGGCTGAGGCCGGACCGGTGCTGCTCGCCCTCGAGCGCCTTGCGCAGATGCGAGGAATCGCCGTACGACGCGCTGCGGCTGAGTCCATCCTTTCTGGTCTGCGCCGCCGCAGGCTTGAGCCTCTGCCGCCGGTTCTGGAACCAGATCTGGACCGAGCGCGGCGTCATGCCCAGGCGCTGCGCGAGCGACTGGCGCTGATCAAAGTTGGGCAGAGGCTCCTGGTCGAAGGACTCGATGAGAACCGAAAGCTGCGCGCGGCTGATCTTGCACCTGCGTGGGTGGCCCCGGCAGGGTACGTCTCAGAGAGCGACGCCGGCAGAAGAGGGGAGGAGCGGCCGCTGCGCGCGTGCGACGGGCGGAGGCGGGAGGCGCTGTGTGACGGGGAAACGCGCCGCGCGCGTCTCGGCCGCGACGGCAGTGGCAGGGATCAGTTCTGTGTGCTCACCGCTTTGGCCGCGACGCCGCCTCGACGGCCGCCTCAGAGGGAGGCTCGGCGAACTCGGAGCTGTTGCTGTTGCTCGGCGAGCTCGGGGCGGCGCGCAGCGATGGCGCGCTGTCGTCTGAGCCGGGCGAACCGGGGCGGGCGGTGGCCGGGAGGGCCTCAGGGTCCAGCATCTTCGCAGAGGAGCTCTGAGAAGGCCACCAAAATGTACCTCGCCTTCGCAGGACTGCGATGAAATGATGAGAACGCGGGCCATAATTCTCAACCTCAGCTGATGAGATCTGCACCGGGGGTTGGTTTTTTGTGTGAATATTTTCTTCTCATAACAAGGCTGTGAACAGGGTTGGCGCCCTTGTGTCCGCACTCTTCTTGCCACATGAGTGTGCGGCGGCCGCGTTCCCGCGTTTGCCACAGTAATAGATTAACCCTTTTGCTTCATAAAGGGTCTTGGAGACCCAATCTCGATATGTCTCCAGTCGTAGCGGTGGAACTTTAAAACGGCTCGGTCAATTATTTAGCCATATATGAGAGGATCATGGCACAATGTCGTTGGGGTCGACAGTAAATCTCCCAGAGCCCACGTAAATCGGTCTTTTTCAGACACCCGGAGCCCTCCGCGGCCGCTTCTCTACGCCGGCGAAGCACCATCAAGCTGATGTACGGCCCCGGCATCGCCTCCCCTGGCTTAGCTAGACTGAGATATATTGTGCACACATGGTCAGTCTCTACACCATATACGCGAGCTACAAGTTTCTCCGAGACCTCGCGAGCGGCCGGTTATTCACACCTCGGCAGTGTGCTTTGGGTCGGGCAGGGCAGTGTGGGTTTCACACCCGGGGCAGGTAGGGGATCGGGCAGGGCAGGTGTGCGGCAGTGTGTGGGCAGGGCAGTACGGCATGGCAGCGCAGGGCAGTTGGGGTCATAATTGCAGGGCTGAGATTCGGGATCTCAGGTGGTGAAAAAAAAGGGGAGATAACTGCTGTGAACACGGAATTTGAATAACAATCTCAATGTGAGATGTGTGAAGAGGACGGCCGATCGACCAAACACATGCGCGAGCTGGCGAGCTCATCTGCATCTCAATCAAATCTCAGGGGGGCGCCGTGTGTATCCTTGATGCGTGACACTGCACTACGACTACTCGTGGTCTGTGGACTCCGTCTCGGAGTCGTCCGTCACCTCGGTCCAGCGTGCGCCGACGACGACGCCGACAGGGATGGTCATCGCCCCTCGCTCGAGGGCCGCGACCCGGTTGGCGAGGCGGTTGGCGAGGCGCTCCGTGCGGCCGAGGGCCGAACCGCCGTGGCGCGCGTTTGGGAATGTGCGGTTGAAGACCTGAATCTCGAGGGCATCCACACGGGCGCCACGGGCGTTTGTGGTCTGCAGGGCTGTCTGGAGCTCTCGCACGCGAGCATCGAGCGCCGTGGTGAGCGCACGCGTGTAGTTGTTCGACCGCTCGATGGCATCGAGCCGCGCATCGGTCAGCATACCGTTGTGGTTGATCGCGTGCAAGAGGCGGGCGGTCGATGGGCCGGTCTGACTGCGGCGGCGGTGGCACTGAACCTCCCAGAGCTCGTCCCGGTCCGTCACGGCCATCCTCGTCCTCCGGCGGGCCCCCGGCCGCGGCGCGGTGCGGCGGCGTCACAAATCCGAACGCAGAGCACCGTCCGGGACGCGGTCGGGCGATCTGAGGCCCAAGTAGGCGTATGCATTGCCCATCCAGGGCTATCACCTGGACCTATCAACAGGCGCGTGCGGCGCCGTGCTCAGGAGCTGCTGTTCACTCGCCGAAATGTGTCGTAAAAGGGTTAAGCGAGAGAGAGAGAGAGAGAGAGAGAGAGAGAGAGAGAGAGAGAGAGAGAGAGAGAGAGAGAGAGAGCGAGCGAGCGAGCGAGCGAGCGAGCGAGAGAGAGAGAGAGAGAGAGAGAGAGAGAGAGAGAGAGAGAGAGA